ATCAAAGGTACAGAAGAGAAGATACTGTTTGTTTTCTAAAGTTGGTTGAGTAAATACATCAAATTTTTATGTGTTTGGAGTATTTTCAGAGGAATATATAAGAAATCAGCAACAATAATTGCTTTGGGGAAAATTCCAAAAATTGGGAGTGATAATCGCTCTGAGAGAAAGGCTAAGGATCATAGGTAAGAAGAGGACTTTCTTTTAACCAGGTGATCATTTGTACTTCTTGTTTTTATCATGCTCAAATAGCATTTTAAGAATTACACATGAAGGATACCAACAACAAAATGATATCTGTTGAATATTGACTCTGTTTCAGTCACTATTAACTGGTGTTTGACTCTAAGATCCCATTTAATCTTTACAACAGCTTATGTAAAACTCTATTTTACTAAGAGCAAATAGTCTCTGGTAGCACCAGTCATTTCATTTATTCACGTTGACACAGCCAGTAAATGACAATGTGGGGACCTGAATGCAGTCCTTTCTGATTTCTAAAACTGTAGATTATACTGTGTTGACTTCAAGTCATTGCAAGGGAACCAGATTTATAAGACAGCAGCTTTGGGACTACATTTTTTAAGAATCCTAAGGAATACCGTGAAATTCATCACATGGTTCACACCAACAACTCAGTGCCTCTCCCACCAGCCGAGGCCCCGTGTTAGAAGCTGTTTTGCACACTTACACTCATGCAGAACGTTGAGCCTCCCTGAAGATTTCCCCCAAAGTCCTTCATGGTCACTGGAGTGCTCACTCTAGAGGTGGGGAGGAACCTGCTTTCATGCATACTTCTGTGAACCCCTCTTTTTTAAGGGAGGATTTTTCAGAGCGGCAATGAATGTGCTGGTGAATATCTAAGTTTCTTAAGCATACAAAGTCTTCATTTATTTAACAATTATCTTTGAATGATCACTCTGAGCCAGGCCCTCTACTTAAGAGCTGGAATTATAGAGGTTGAACAAGGTCCTTGTCCCCATAAGATGTCTGTCCCAATGAAAAGACAGGAAGTAAACAAACAAGCAAGTGAATAAGCAGAATGCAAGACAGTTAAGTATACGGAAGAATATTAAACTGGCCTGGCATGGTGGTGCACATCTGCAATTCTAACACTCAGGAATATTGCGGCGAGAGAATTTGAGTACTGCCTAGGTGATCTAGTCAGACTCTCTCACAATAAAAGAATTTAAAAGGCTGAGGACAGAGCTCAGTGAGGAGGCCTTGGGTTCAATCCCCTGTACCAGAAAAGAAGAAAGGATAAAGCAGGGAAAAGAGAAAGTTAAACTGTTATAATGGAGTGATCAGTTGGCTATTTTAGTATTAGTCATCAGGAAAGGCCACTCTGGGGACATGATATTTAACCTTGATGACAAGAATGACACAGAAATCCTAACAGCTACTGTCCTTCCAAACAAACTCAAGCTCCTTCTGTATACCTCAGTACACGTCCCTATTTCCATTTCAAGTTCCTATTCATTTACAACAGGAATTTGTAATCCCAGAATTTAGAGCTGTAAAGGCCCCCAGAGGTCTTAGTCTCATGCCATCACTTTAGAGATGAGGAAATAAAGATCAAGGAAGGTGAAGAGTGCAGGTCACACAGCTATTTAGTGACCATACTCAGCTCTTAGACCATGTATCTTCCACTGACCCTGCTTAGCTTTCCAGTGTCCTTCTCCTGTCTGCACTGCTGAGCCTGGTGCCTGCCTCCCTGGAGCCCACAGATATTATAAATCCTTTTGGATTATAAGGACCCACTGGAATGACATTAGGAATCTTGAGAATGATACCCTGGGGTGGGAGGAACAGTAGCAAAAAAGATACAACCCCTCACAGTGCAGTGTCTCCACATCCAAGCCAAGCCCCAGAATCCTGCCTGGATCTTACCTATCCTCTCTGCCCATGAGTGACCCTTATAGAAATTACTTAATTTGGGGGCTGCATAGACTTAATGGACACTAAACATCTTTTTTTCCAAAATGTTCTCCAGCTTAACCAAGTTGATATGAAAAATTTCTATTCTATAATTTCGCTCCTCCAAAAATGCCTTACAAAATGATTAACCACAGAATTTCTTTAAATAGCAAATTCCTTCAGTACATTTTAAATATGATCTATAAAAATTCAATCTACATAAAGCTTTTATTCCCTCTTCAAAAAAATAGCTATTGTATCAAGGGCAATAGCATAAACATGGACTCTCAGTAGTAGATTTTAGACTCAGTGTATAATGGTTCTCATTCATTCCACAAGTATTTATTGAACTGCTCTGGGAAATATACACTTCCACATTGTTGTGAGACATGATAGGGAGACAGACCCAGCTTCTGCCCTTTGGGAGCATGCATGCACACATCTCTCAATGCAAGGCTAGTTATGATGAGAGCCGAAAAGGAAATACAAACCAAAGTGTCAGAGGACAAAGAAAAGAAACACTATATTGCAGGGTCTGGAAAGGAGGCAGCGACATTTTAATTGCACTTCAAAGGATTATTTCTGTAAACTCACAATGCATTCTAGGAAATGAAAGCCTCCTGACATGTACAGAGGGCAGGACACACAAGGCACATTTTCAGGACAGAAGGGAGTCCAGTGTAGGAAATGACAAAGAAGAGAACACAGGCCTTGGAAAGTATATCAAGACTTTTAATGCAAGAATAGACAAAGTGTGGACTCCAATCCATAAACCATAAAAACCTTGAGGGAGTTCTGGACAGGGAAAGAATGTATATTTGTGTTGCAGGAGCTTATTTGGGAGCCACATGGGTCAGACCTGAGTGGATAAAGGCTGGCATCAGGGACAGAGCCCCATCTAAAAAAATTATTCCATGGTTCTTGGACCATGTTTGAAATCAGAAATAAATTTGGGAGCTAGAATAAAGGTAAAACTGATGAGGTGAGAAGTTTAAATCCACAGAGAGCATCTAGTTCGGGGTAGAGGTAGGGCCCACGCCTCATATTCCAGCCTAGATAAGTTAGCAGGATGGTAAGGGGCACCTCTCATGGATAAGTGGCGAGATGCCTCCTGCTTGAGACAGTAATCATGAGACCACTGCATAAGAGCTACCCCAGCTGGATGTCTTTGGATCCACATATGAAGTCTCAGTTATTAATAACTCCTCTTCTGGAGATATGCAGAAGTGCCTGTTATACATGAGGGGCCAGAACACTTGTGAAATTATAATGTCTCCACAGCAGCAGTGAAAAGCAGCTTGATTGGGGTAGAGAGCAGGAGCTTGGAGAAAAACCATTTGTGAACAAATGATAACTCAGAGGAGGGAGGATAACTTTAATCAAGAACATCAGGCACAATGAAAGCCTTCTGGCTCTGCCTGATGATAGCAATTACATGACAGAGTGAGGTTTTTGCATATGGAGGATCTGGCCCCAGGGTATACTAACCTGGACCACACATGCCTCATTCACAGATAAACAGTCACACAATTAGCTATCCAGGGCCCTACATGAGAAGATTGAGAATTTCAAGAAATTTTCCTCTGGCTACTCTCTCTAGAAATATATAGCCTAGTGCTATAGTTTGGAGCTTGAAGAGTCCTCCGAGGATCATGGGATGAAGATCTGGTCCTAGCCTATGGCACCATTGGGAGATGGTAGAATTTTTAGGAGGTGGGACCTAGTGGGGGAACCTTAGGTATTAGGATCATGTCTCGAAGGAGATAAGGGAAACTAGGCCCTTTCTCTTTCTCTCTGTTTCCTGACAAGGAAGGGAAGTGGTATCCTCAGTCACATGATCCTTATCACAGGTTCAAAAAACAAACAAACAAACAAAACCAAAGCTAAGTGACCCAAAATGAAACCTCTTCTTCTGTGAGCTAAAATAAACCTTCCCTCTTTAGAAATTAATTTTTCTCAGGTTTTCTGACATAGTAACAGAAAGCTGACTAACATATTGCTTTCTCTATAGTCAAAATCACACTGACTTTGTGAAGCTTGTTCACATCCAACTGGTCCATGTAGCTTATCCACCTTACATTAAATCAGTATCCAGTGTGTTTCTCATGGAATATAAATGTCCTGAACAAAGGATCTTGTTGTAAAATAATACAAAGAAATGCCATATTAAATAAAATAAAAATTGTTTCATTGCTCTAAGACACTTAATATCTGAGAGTCTCCTAGAATAAGAAACAATAAATAGCACTTTCCAATATTATTTATCTGCAAAACCATTTTTTTCAGCAGTGTATTAAGAACCAACAGCCCAGCAGAACACATCTGGGAAAAGTCAGCCATAGTCTTATTCTTTGTACCATGTGGGTTTGAGGATCAGAACAAGAACTGAGGCTAATATTTAGTTTCTCTTCACTGAATGCCAGGCTAAGTACTTTTAAAGGTTGAAATATATTTAATCCTCATGCCTATGATACGGGTATTATCACAGAATGGTTAAAGAAGAAACCAAGGCACAGAATGGTTAAAAGATTTTCCCAAGATCCTAAACAGACAAGCTGATGATTATAACAGTCTGACACCCACAGAAAGCAGTTTCAAGTGGTAGGATGCCAAACACTGTGATCAGCTGACAGAAGCCAAGATTGTGACCAATGTCTTGGGTGGCAACTCTTCATATATTCTAGTAAATCTCAATCTGTCTGCTCATGAACAAGACTTTATGGGTATACCCAGATATTAAGTAGAACACAGCTCATGAGTTATACCACCCATTTGGTTTCTTCACCAAATTATATCACATTACACAAAGAAAATTTTTCATTAAAACAGAGTCCTGATCCAACCGCCATGCAATTATCCATAATGAATGTAACTCATAGAGAAGACAACCTTTTGGTTAACCAAAGTGGTGAGAAAATGAAGGCATGACTCGAGACCAGGCTGCTCCTGTTTTAAAAGTCTTGACCTTTTGCTTCCTAGGTCTAATGATGAAACCAGAGGATTATTTTTTTCTATAATGTGTCCCCAAATTTTATGTCCCTTCCCTTCCACTTTGCTCAAGAATTGTCAAAGACATGTCCTACCCTCTCCCACTTCCTCTCCTTGTTCAGAAGAATTATCACCAGTTTCGGATGCATCTGGTAGCCATCTTCACTGAAGGACAAATTTCTCCCCTCAAAAGTGACATTGATCAGATACCTGTAAAGATAAAATAAAAAGAAGATTAAACACATGAAGGATGTGTACTAAGATCAAGAAAGGTAAATGGAGACAAACCAGTGGAAAGGCAGACAAATGCCATTAGTCATTTGACTATCTAAAAAATAATTCATGTTTTTACCTAATAAAAATAGAAATACTATAATTTAAAACAAAAGTACTTGGTTTAAGTCTATAGCTATCACTTTGAATGAATTATTTAGCTTTCTAAACATCAGAGTTTTCCTTCCCTGAGGAAAGTTTGTTAAGAACTGACTTCACAGGGGCTGGGGATTTAGCTCAGCGGCATAAGCGCCTGACTTGCAAGCAGGCAGTTGTGAGTTCGATCCCTGGTACCGATAAAAAGGAAAAAGACAAAAAAAAAAAAAAAAAAGAACTGACTTCACTAGGTTTAATAGGATAACAGGTTAAATACTTACCATAGGGCCTGGTGCATAGTAAACCCTCATTAAGTGTTAACAATTAATATTCAAAAAAGGAGATGAAATACAGGGGCACAGTAGATAAGAAAAGGAAGTGGCTGGGAACTAAGTCAAATTTCTACTAAGAAAGTTGTTTGTAGGAACAAGGATTGCTCTCCTTCCAGAGACGCATATTTTTTTAAACTCCTACTAATGCCTCATGCAACCTATATTTCTAAGAGTCATGAGTCCACTAGGCAGGAATATGATATCACATGACATTATCTGAAAACAAGCATTACTGTATTATGAACAGTGAACAGAAAGTATCCTTGAAAGAGATGGAGACATTAAACAAAGTGTTTAGGGAACAGGAGCATAAATTAGCAGAAACTTCGGAGGTGACCAAAATCAGAACAACATTATCTTTTTCCTAGACACCTACATCCTGCTCTTCCTTGCTGGATGCTGTGATGAGCAGTTCTGTCTCTGGGAATCCCCATAGGTATGCTCATTACAACTGCATCAGTGCAATTGGCCTAATGGTAATTAATGTCCCTTTACCAAAATGGCTCAAAGAATCAATAATAATTAGTTCTGTGTTCACATAACACACTATTTCAGAACTTTGAGCCCAGTACTTCTTGTAATATGTGCTTCTGCTAAACAGCAAAGAGGCATCTTATAATAGTAGCAGAGGAAGCAGCTTTAAGGTCCTTCTTTTAACTCTTCTCATTCAGTGAGATTTGGAGATTCTGAGTCTTCCAAGGAGCAATGAGGCTGGAATACACCTGGTTTTGACAATAATAAAGATGGCAACATGAACACAACCCTCATAGATCATGTCTCACTCCTAGAATTGTCTGGGATTCTTAGGCCTGTCAAACCCTAGCTTTGTGTAGGCCCACAAATGCAATAAAAAAAAGCAAAGATGACTCCAAAAGAGTAGAGATTCCTAGAATTATAGATCTGAAAGAGAAATAATCTGCTAGCCCACCACGTCTTCCAGCGGACATTCTTCTGTATAATATCACAGAACTGATGCCCTCAATTCATCTTGAATACGTGCACTGATGGGGATGTTTATCTCAGCATCCTCCACCCTCGAAGTAACCATTTCATGGTTGGGCATTCCATCTTACTTCAATCTGAAATCTGCTTCATTTTAGCCCTATACTCCTAGTTTTCTTCTTAGATATTGTATAATCTTAGTTCAATCCTTCTTCTACATGAGAGTTTTTCAAATATTTAAAGACATTTATCATGCATCCTTTATAAAACAAATTTTAATCTTTAATGAACTCTTAAACTCAATTTGATGAATGAGGAAACAAGCACAGAGATTTTAAATTATTTGTCCAGAGTGGCATTACTAATTGGAAACAGAAGCAGTATTTCAAATAAATTTCCAGCCGCATGTCTTTCTTACCGCACCATGCTGCTTCTCGTATGCAACGAGGACAGAACTTTCTGTTTCTTCATGTATTTGTCCTACATCCTGACTGTAAGTTCATTCTGCTCCCTGAACACCTCCTGTCAAGTAATCAGGCTCCCTGATCCAACTTAAGACTCCCCTAGCAGCTTCTTCTGTCCTCCTGCTGCTTCAGCTCTTAGTTCAGGGCCGCTGGCCCAAGCTCATCACTAGTTTGAAGGTAACATTTAGGTTTTCTGTAGTTTTCAGCAACTCTAACACCCAGCCAAAGCCCCATAGATTTCATTCTAAGGGATGTTATTACAGAACCACAAGACAGACTATTTTAAACTAAGCAACTAGAATTTAAACACCCATCATTAACTTGGAAAATATGCTATTACTAGGACAATATTAGACTACTTAGAATGATTTCTGAAAGTCTTCAAAAAAAAGACTGTAAGACAGACAAAATAATTTAGTCCCAGGTCTTTTCTGAATAAAAGAAAAGAAGAAACGAGGGAGAGAATAGGGAGAGTGGAGGAAAGAAGGAAAAGGGGAAAATAAATTACCTGGTATAAGCACCATCTTTTCACCAGATATGACTCTGAATAATTCCTACTTTATCTAAAATATCATTAAAAATATTTAAAAGGAAGTGTCCATTTCAGGAAGCAATTATAAAAGGGAAATTTCAGAAATGATTCTATTCATAAGTAGCCTGAATGGAATAAGTATACAGGCTCTCAAGATGACTCCTTTAAAGAGGATAGCATTAAAGTGGGTATGTAAGTTGAGAATTTAAACTTTCAAGAAATAAATCATAGTCCTGGGCAATGTCATTGGCCTACAGTTAAATCTTTCTAGTTATTCGTGCCCCATATCCTCCTGATTTTCCTTAGAAATTGTTTTCTTTCTGTTCTCTGCAAGTTCATTTTATCTACCAAAGCACTTCTTCAGTACTTTTTAACTTTTCAAAAAATTTTATGACAGTCTACAAAATATTCATCTGCAAAGTATCTTTTAATCATTTATGTCCTTCAGCGGCATATAGATTAATCATTCACATTGTATTTTTCTGAGTAAGTCTTAGTGATATGACATATTTAGCTATTAGTGAGAAGCCTTCAAATGCATATGAGAACTAAGCAAGGATGATATATTTTAATAATTGCTTGGTTTGTCTCCAGGATGCAGTCTGACCTCTAAGAAATCTGATGGCTTCTCTCATAAGTTCTCACATTGCACAGAACCTCATATTACTAGAACTAGTAGAAAAATTAGAAATTATTTATTGAGAATCCTTACTGTAGTGAATAGAAGACAGATTCCAAGATGCTAAGTATTTTTCCCAGGTGAGGACCAGAACTCAAGTCCTCTGATTCTCAGTTTAGCATCTTTTCACGAGGTCACTAACTGAAGCAGTTTCTCAAGGCTCCTGGAATGCAGTTTAGTTTTCTTATATCTCATGTCATGTCCTAGACTCCATAGCCCTTAATATAGCCTGAGTAAAATAAAACCTATCTCATTTCCTGTTTGCCTCCGTATTGAGAAAGCGCCTCAGAATCCTGATGGGCTCAGAGCCAGCACATTTGCTTTCTATAGGAAAAGTCACACTTTGGTGGGTTTAATGGGGTCAAGCTAAGGTTAACAAGCCCTGTATCTCTCTGACTTTGCCCTTGCCACAGAAAGCTCATCTGCTGTACCACGCTGACAGCCAAAGCAAGGATTTAGCAGTGTGCCCCAGGTGGGACCCACCTGGAGGAGCTCTGCCAGAATCTTCTCAATAAGCCAAGAGCCTGGCTCCACACTACTTCTATGCCCTCCACGTATTTACGAAGCATTAGAGTTTTAAAAATTAACGTCCACCAATGAGTTAGTAAGAGAGACATAGCATCTGATCTCATCTGATCTTTTCATTAAAGCTGAGAATAGTTTTGCATCTTTCCCAAGATTCGATGACAGGGGTGAGCACAGTCCATGTCTTCATCCCCATCCAGGCTTCTCTCACTATCGTGTCTTAATGGTGGCATTTCTTAGTGCTTTATTTAACTTCTCTAGCTATTAAAAAAGAAAGTGAAAAGGGAATATAGCTTGAAGTAGTGGACTTGAGCTCTTGACCCCTTGCTTAAAATTTTGTAGTTTTGAGAATTTCTAACTCTACAGCTTTGTATGTTTCTTACCCATTAAAACTTTCAGCTCCCTCATGGATTAAGGAGATTGGTTCTTAATGCCTCATTTGCCTGATGTTGGAAGATACAGGTAAGTTCTTTGACATACTTTCGGAACTCTGCATTTCTTTTCTTTCTTTTCAACTAATTTTTATTGTGTATATTTAAGCTATACAACACGATGTTATGAGATACATAGAACACAAAAAGATCACTACAGTGCATCAGGTTGACGTGCCATCATCCTCAATTCATCTGATTGATACTGTGCTATTACATTATTAAATTCTGTTATCCGCATGGTAAGACCTTTGGAAGTCTTTCAAAAGATTAGAGGGTAGTATTTGGGAATTACTATTGCTTATCCACAGTTTCTCTAGAAAGAATAGAAAACTTTTTTCATGGGATTCAGTGGACTTCAAAAGTTTTCACAAGCTATTTAATTAGAGACCAATATTGAAGAAAAGAAGCAAAGATAGTTATGAACCTGATGGTCAGTGGTATGGCTTAGATAGATCAAATAGAGATTTCTGATTTTTTCTTAATTTAGAAATTCATGATTATCAGAATTAATTAAAAAATTTCAACTCAGTGTAGTGTGGTCAATGTGGAAGGCCATGACAAGTGAGGGACTATCTTCTGAGCTTATGATGAATTCTTCTGAGTTCAAATCCAGGAGATTGTCCACATCAGTAAATGTTCTACATTCAAATGAATAGAGATATCTAGATCTACATGCTGGTGGAAAGAAAAGAAAGAGAACCAGAAAAAACTAAACAAGGAGAAAAGAAACGTCTATACTGCACACAACAGCCACCACAGGCAATGTAGTCAGATGTTCAAGAGAAAGGATGCTGTGATCTATGACCTTTGCTCAGATCCTGGCTCTGCCAAATCCTAAAGCAGATGGTAAGTTTCCCATGGTGCATGAATTATTTAATCTTGTCACCCATGGACTCTAAGGAAAATAGACTCAGAGAAATTTTAAACATGTTT